CTAATTATTCATTTAAAATTTAAATTAAGGTAAATAATTAACAGGTGACAGATAAAGTAAATAGTAGCGATTGTTTTCTTTAACTTACCCACAGATCCGGGAGCAATAGTATTTACGCGAATTTTATCAGTATCGTTTAGATCGCGTAGTGATTGTGTAAAACCAACGACCTAGAAGTTGATATTAGATAAACGATCAAGACTAAAATAATTTGCAAGTTTAAAAGATTTTAAACATACAGCATATTTTGTAGAAGTATATATTGGCATTGGATTAAATGGTGAAAATCCAGCAATCGAAGCTACAGATAAGATAAATTACTTTGTAAGTTTTTTTTTTTTTTTTTTTTGATATCTAATATTATTGTTAACAAACCTGTATTTATGATAGCACCACCTCCGCGTTTTTTCAAAAATTGAATTCCCAATTGCGTACATTTGATTACAGCGTTTAAATTGACATCAATAGTCTTCATCCAGCTATCTATTATCATAAATACATGAGTCGAGGTTTATGCACAAATAATTGTCATTCAATATATATATATAATTATTAATATACTTAACCAGTCTGGTCAAAAAATTCACCAGCTTGCGCAATCCCAGCGTTATTGCATACAATCTTTTAGGATAAAAAAAAAAAAGTTATTAATTAATTGCCCATTAAACAAACTAAATTATTGATTAATTAACAAAAGTATTTACATCAACGCCACCAAATGTATTTTGTGCAGTATCGAACAATTGATGCAGATGATCGGAATTTGTTACATCACAAAGGACAAAGATCGCATTAATTTTATTGCTAGATCGTGTAATTTGAAAATGCTATTTATTTTTGGATTTTTTGAATGTGTTAAAGCAAAAATATTCCGAAATCAAATACTTTTGATTAAATTCAGCTACGAGCTCTTGGCCAGATTTTTTGTCAATGTCGCCAATAACTACTTGAGCACTATATAATTTTTTTAAAAAATGATTTAATATAAATAAAACGAAAAATAGACCATAACATTTATCTTTATGACAAACCCTTCTAGAAATAGTCGCCGAGCTAAAGCAGCACCAATACCGTTCGCACCGCCAGTTATAATTACAATTTTATCTTTGATTTGCATTGCTTTTTGAGAGAGAAGACGGCAAATCTGAGTGCTACTTTATATAGTTATGCGAGATCATTGTGCAATAACAGTATATATAAGGAGTCGTCTAAAGCAAGATAGTAATTTATATGCATCATGTGATTTTTAATTTACAAATTTGTTAGTAATAATCAATTTAAAAATTACCTGGCTTTAGACGACCTCTATAATTAGTATATTGTTGCAAAGTGTTTTAATTTTTACGTAATAAGGAATTACCTTTTCCATCTCCAAATTATTTAATTATTTCACAAGCCAGAAAGTTTCTATCCGCTTAAAATTATGCCGGAATTTGTTTTATTTAAACTGGAATTTCAGTATATAACAATAGATTTTGTGTACTACCTGCATAAAGTTAAAATCCTAATACGTAAAATTACTTTATCGTTATGTTCTTTTTTAACTGATAGCTTTAACACATAAATAACGTTAAGGAATCAATGGATATGCAGTGTAACTCCAACCACTGCTTGAAGGTACGTACCTAATAGGCATAATTACGTACGTATCGGTATTCTACACAGACAAGCTAATTATGGTTAAAAATATATGCTGCCGCTTTTTTCAAATTGTCTGTTACTAAACAATGATGCATTAGCGACGATCACAGGTTCCAACAAGAGAATCCGGTATATGCAAGGGGATGATAAGTATAGATTTAATGAAATTACTAATTTAGGAGTTTATGGAGAGAATACTAATATAACCAAATTTAGCTGACAATAACATACCGATACAGATATAAAACAAAAGAGCAGTACGACGGCAGTCCTTTCAAGAGGCAAATCAATTTCGCAGAATAGTTCCGAAGACTAATTCAATTGTACTTGAACCATAGGGAAGACTTAAATCAGTCTTAAATCAATCATAGAAATTAGACTCATTAATGCATGGACATTAAGTCAACATAGTTCAATGTAACACCTGACGAATAGATTTGAATAATCACAGCAGTTTTTAAATAATAAAAAAAAATTAAAATTGAGTTATATGATATATAGGTATTAATCAAATTCATGCACGATGAACAATTATGAAGAATCACCTGCAAATTTAAATGAATAATAGAAAATCAAGTTAAATGATACATGTAGGGATGGGTTCGGTCAGCTATTATTGACTATCGACTAATAACTATACTGTACTTGTTGGCAAAACCTATGGGATTTGGGATTGGGCTATGGACAACCCTGGACAAATAGGATTGTCCACCCATGCTTAAAAATCTCATGTTGCAAAAATGGACAAACTCCATCCCAAATTCAAAATTCCATTCCAAATCTCAAATTTCAAATTCTATTCCAAATTTCAAACCTAATACGTAATTTATTTAGGAAATTATACACTTTTTTGATAATTTTTTATAAACTTTGATCGAAAATTATCTTGATACTCACCTAACTAAATTCGATCAACCTTTTTTGGTTTAATTGAAGAAAACAGTAGTATATAAATAAAAAAAAAAAAGTTCATCGAATTTGGTCAAGTGGATGTCAAGATATTTTGATTAAAGGTTTGTAAAATTTTAAACGTCTCAAATATAAACTGCAGCAAAAATCGTTTTTAAACTTTGATAGAAGATATCTTGACACCTACCTGACAAAATTTGATCAACATTTTTTTGGTTTAATTGTAGAAAGCTATAGAATTTGAGTAAATAAAGTTGATCGAATTTGGTCAGGTGAGTGTCGAGATATCTTCAATCAAATTTTTGTAAATATAAGCTGCAGCATAAATTGTTTTCAAACTTTGATCGATGATATATTGAAACTCTCCTGATTAAATTCGATCAACATTTTTTGGATTAATTATAGAAAGCAACAGAATTCGAATAAAAAGAAGTTGATCGAATTTGGTTAGGTGGGTATCAGGATATCTTCAATCAAAGCTTTGTAATTTCGGCATAATAGATTCAATAAAATTACAAAATTGTACGTATGCGTGTACGTATCAGGTATGTACGTACGTACGTACATAACTTTTACATTAAATAGTGCAACGGCATAAAAGGTTCGCCGCCATTACTAAACTTTATGTGCCAGCCCTACGAAAGTTCTGGTCAATACTATTCACATAACAAAAATTATATATAATTTTGACATCAGAAACTTGTACAAATTTACGCAAAATTATAGTAATTTTCACCCTATATCAGATTTATGAAAGATATAAATGAAAAACATATGTCACATATAATACTTGATCTATAGATAATTATCATTATAAATGTCGACACGTTCAATGTTATTAAATTTTTGGTTGAATGTTTGGTGCGTTTAATTTGTGCTTAAACTTATGGAAAAGCTTATGGAAAAGGCACAATATTGTCAAGAAATATAAAAAGGCCCAAGATACGTATAAAATAGATATTTATAATAAACACATTACACGAGATATGGTCAAGAATTTTGTCGACTGTTTAAAGATGACTCAAAATTCCGTTTAAAAAATCATGATTTTATTAATATTTATCGTAGAAGTTTTCAATATATTCATATCTTCGAAGGTGCTTGAAAACTCGACTTATAATGACATACTAACATCTAAGTGTGTGCAATTTTCGAAATGATAAGCTTTCTAAAGAAATTTTTCAATTATTCGCTAGCGAAGTGTTTGAAAGCACCATGTTTCTTATTTGATTAGAGATATCGGTATAATATTTATATTAATCATCTGATCTTAAATTCATACCGTATCAATTTATAGAATCTATTATGCCGAGGTCACTTACTTAATTGAATCTGCCGAAAAATCAGTCGGCTAATTTTTATCAGGTGTTTCGGGAATTATGATAATAGTAATGAGAAATGGCAGATAATTTATAATCTCACAGAGATAGAATAACTTATGAAGCATCAAAAAATTTATTATCATATTCTAGACTATTTACAGACAATTTAATATAAATATAAATAAATATCTTATTCTAAATACACCTACTAAAATCAATGAAATAAGAAATCAAATTAAATGTGTTTATTCGCAACGGCGAGAATAATAGGTAAACTCCCGGTTATAGAGGACCCGAAGGGTCCTCATATAACTGGTTCTACCACAACATCTCGAAAGCGATTTTCCCGAAAGAACATAATACCGACTAAATTGGCCAACATTATAACTAATGCTAGCTAACTTTGTCGGTATTGGGTCCTTTCGGGAATCTGTCTTTCGGGATTTTGTGGTAAAATCTCCGTGGGTTGTGTAATTCAATAATTCACCCGGGTGATGAATAAATTATTTCTAATATGTTTATAATATGTTTATAATATTAATAAGTTTCTTACAAGAGAGTTAACAGAGCTTACTAAGACTTTTATTATATGATAGATATATGCTGTTTATATTTTTAAAAAATCAAGGTTTCTGTAAAGAAAATATGAAGTATATTTTCCTTTATAAATAGAATTTAAGTCTTGAATAACGAATAAACTTGAGTTGATTCGTTAATCACGAGTTAACACATGATAAAATGATTTGGAAATAAATCGAGTTTATTGAATTTTGATCATTTAATACGAACTATTTTATCTTTATTATTATTGTAAAACCGTCAAATATGGAAATAGTAATATGAAATCTATTGTTAATTATATATAAAAGATTGTATTTAATTACATGACACCATTGAGATATTGCTCCTTTATAAACTCTTTAAAAAGACTTAGAGCGAATTAGTGGATACAGCTATGTATGCCATCTAGAGATTTTAAGCAGTTGGAGTCTGAATTCTACTTTATAATGCGCACATATAATTAAGCCAATATAATCAATGAATCAATAAATTAATAAATTAAGAAATCAATAAATTAATAAATAATAAAAAATAAATTACTAGTAATCTTTGCAAATACAGGCAAAACTACGTCCATTCATAAAAAGTTTTATCTTGTTAAGTTAGTAGAGGTGATGCTAAATTTTCCGGCATCTATCGACTTGTTCACAGGTTATGTTATTATTACTTTCTTCATTCTCTTTATATCCAGCAATACTATTATTTAATCCAGTTAAGTTAATTAATCTGCTTGTAAAGTATGCCTCCGAATGTTGTACAGTTGATTGAATATTTAAATCAGAAATCTCTTGAAGTTTCTTATCAGCATTTCGAAATTGTGTGATTGCTTGTTTAATTTCATTATCTCTTATATCTTCAATATTCTTATCATAATTTTCCCAACAATTATACATAGTGTTTAGTAATTCAATAGCTTCTGGTCGTTTAGAAGGATCCATGTCCCAACATCTTTTAATCAAAGATGCGTAAAATTGCGGTACATGGTTAGCAATTTGTGGTCTAAACCCTGAACAAATATCAAAACAAAGACGTATATCATGTGAAAGATTATTAAATGGTGGTTCACCAGCTGTAATTTCCCACATAAGCATTCCAAAGCTGTAAATATCTGATTCTTCGGTATAAAGTCGTTCTCTTAAAACTTCAGGCGCCATATAAGGAAGCACACCGCATATTTCCTCATTCTTCAATGAATAATTATCAACCGGTTGAGATAATCCAAGATCACTTACTAATGAAATGTTCCAATCATCATTTTTATTAAAAGCACTACACATGAGTATATTTCCACTATGTAAATCTTTATGAACTATTCTTAATCGATGAATTCCAATAAGTCCAAATATAATTGAATTTAAAATAAACAATCGTTTTTTCCAACTCATCATGTATATTTGATGTAAATTATTCCTCAAACTCCCTCCATTTGCATAATTCATCACAATTACATATTCTAAAGTCTCGGGATCTTGAGTAATTCCAAGTAGTGGTAATAAAAAATCTGTCATCTTAAAAGCACTTAAGTGATATTTCAACTATATTTTTAATAAGACAAATTCAATTTAATTATGAATTAAATATATATCAATTTATGCGATATGTTAGGCATATAAGTTTCCACTTAATTAAATAACAAACCATGTGAAAATGAACTTACTTCATTTAAGAATTTATCACTAATCTTTGATGAGTCGTTAAGCCTTTTTATTGCAACCAAAAGGCCAGTTTTTAAGCTTTTACTATTTTGATTTGAAGATTCTTTATATTGCCAATTATCATCGATTAACCCTATAGCTCGATGCCATTTATTTTTTTCGTGGTCCCATTTTACAATACGTCCATCAGTCCAAATAGCTCTATATATACTACCGAATCCACCTTTGGAAACGTACGTAATTTCTCTCAAGCGATCATATGGAATCCATTCTAGAACCTCAGACATCTTAATAGCGTTAATTTGAGTGTTTTGTATAAATACATCAATGAATTGATTTCAACTTGTCCAACTTGAAAAGTTTTGTTGAAATCTTTTAGCATTGTAAGTTTGACACCAATCTTCATACGTATTTATTTGATTACAATCTGGACAAAGGCCATTTTCACCTTGCAGCGTCCTTGATATTTTTTGCCGAAAATTTAAAAAATAGGCTGACAAATTTTGACGAATTTTTGTTAAGCTATTATTTCGTTGAGAGTTTGTGTTTTGATGAGGTATCCTTTCAGCGGATAAATTCGAAAAGTCTGGTATAAATCTATGCAATAGATAAGACCATAATTTCATGGATGCTTGCATAATTAATTCGTTATTATTTATATAGTAGCTTAAATAATTACATTTTCTTGATTTTAGAGTCAATTTGATTCAAAAAAATTCTTCCACTAATTCTAAAAAATAAGCATATATTAATTTAACTATTGCAGTTAATTGGCGAAATAAATTATTAAATTTATACGAACTAAAAAATTTAGGTTTAAAGATATATTTTAAAATGATGAATGATTAGATGCACACCAACTTACCTTAAATTTTCTTCCGAAATAAAACTCAGCATGTGCTGACGTGCGGGTTGACGAGGATCTTCCGAAGTTGTTATTCTCATGTCATGATTGACGAAATATACTATACCATTTGTTGTAGTTCTTCGTTCTTATTATGCGATAAATTTAGAAATTAATTTTGCTGTATATATAAAGTCGTAAATCACATAAATCTTGGTAACATTTACCCCAACCAAGTGGCAAGGCAGATAAGTTAGTTTGATCATTTTTTGATGTTTTGTTTAGATCTGCTAGTGATTCTTCATATCTGCCCATCATGCGATAAGTTTCTCCACGATGACTTAATGCAAATGTATTATCTGGTTCGATTTTTAATGATTTATTTAAATCTGCAAGTGATTCTTCATATCTATTCATCACGCGATAAGTAGCTCCACGAGCTCTTAATGCGAATGTATTATTTGGTTCGATTTCTAGTGATTTATTTAAATCAGAAAGTGATTCTTCATTTCTGCCCATTTTGCGATAAGTCTCTCCACGGCTACTTAAGACAATAACATTATTAGGTTCGATTTCTAATGATTTATTTAAATCAGAAAGTGATTCTTCATATCTATTCATCATACGATAAATATCTCCACGAACTCTTAATGCGAATGCATTATTTGGTTCAATTTGTAATAATTTATTAAAATCAGAAAGTGACTCTTCATATTCATATAAATAACTATACATTTCTCCGCGAATTCTTAATGCATTTGCATTATTTGGTTCGATTTCTAATAATGTATATAATTCGGCAAGTTTTTTTTTGATACGAGGATGTACCCAAATTGCTCTGATGTTATGATCTACGAAATACGTTCTGCCATCAGGTGAAATTCTTTGTTCTTAATTAAACAAAGTAAAAGATAGATTATGTAAACCAAACAAAATATGTATAAAAAAATTAATATCCTCTACAAACCACAGCCGCTTGGCAAATCAGTGAATATTTCATTGTCGCGAGTATCCACCCAAATTATTGTTCCTGTGTTGTGATTTACGAAATACGTTTGTTCTTAATTTAAATCAAGATGAAACAAAAAAATAAAGTATTTTATATTAAATCAAATTAAATATGCATAAAAAAAACTTGATATCTTCTACAAACCCCAACCACTCAGCAATGGCTTGTAAGCCGTCATTGTTTTCAAATAATCTTTAACTAATATACTATGCCAAAAATTTTAAGTTTTATTTTTCTTTTGAGATCGCAGAATTTTTATTACTAATGCATTAAATAGGGACAATGGATTGTGTCTATTTTCGAAATATAAATATTTACACAAATTTTATCCGGGACTTTACCACTTGGTTTTGATTGAACAAATAATTTCATTACACTGAAATCGAAATAGAAATTTTCAATTAAAAACTTAATGTCACACAGCTTGTTTACGTTACTCATTGTAGTCGATAATTACACAGAGGTAAGTTGCATAGCAATCAGGAATAAAATACCGGAGAACCGTATTACAATTAATAAATCTTGCAATAAAAAGTTATTAATGCAATCTTCACATTATTTATTTCGTAAAATATTCAAAGCACTCACTCTTTTAATATCAATTTTACATTTAGATTATAAAATGGATAGAATACAAGTTAATCTGTTGTTCACATGAAATGATTTGCGGTTTGCAGAATTATATGAAATTTGCAGACCAAGAAAAAAAAATCGCTGATTTCTGATTATATCAACTAGAAATTGCACATGCGGGCGGCTTCGCCGCCGTTTCAATTGACTTATAATTACATAAAGCGCGTGAAAAATAACATGATATCAATTATTGATCATTCGATATGTTTAGTCAAAAAAAAAAAAAAATTTAAAATTAAAAAGCTTTTAAAAGATTTAAACTTTATTTTTATTAATGTAACAAGGATAATGGATATTATCAAGGGAGTTGTCTATATAATACATAGACATATTAATGAATAAAAAGTAATCTAGTTTGGTTATTTATATTGGAAATAGAGATGGGAAAAATGCGCATTTTATAATAGCATGCGCATGTTATATAAAATGCGCATGAAATCGCTAGGGATTGGAACCATTTAACCGTTTAAAAATTGCTCTATAGTTCCGGGCAGAATTATGTTGGTCGTGGGCCAGAATCATTTTAATGCCGGCCAAACTAAACGGTTAAACGATTAAACGATTAAGAAAAATTTTAGGCGGTTCCAATACCTAGATATAATTTTTTTGATTTTATATTTTTCCTCTGAAAAATATCGGATATTTGCCAAAGTTTTTCCCCGACCCTCCTCATCTTTATGTTCATTCATTTTCTTTTGGAATTTTTCAAAATTTCTGCATTCCTATTTCTTAATTTTGCCTGGCATTATACACTTTAGCCTAAATTAAATATACTTTAATTTTCCTATATAAAATTTAGATGGGATAAAAATGTGCATGATTCCGAATCATGCGCATGAATGCGCATTAATGCATATAATTGAGAAATCATGCGCACGCATGAAACCATCTCTAATTGGAATAAACAAAAGTTATTTATACTGTATAATGAAGAATATTATGATTAATCAATCTAAATGAATATAGAGATAAATATATTTTATAGAACTGTATAATGATAAATTATATTATAACTAGCAATGTTACTGTGCAGCAACTTTGTTGCCCACTCACAGTTTCAGGTCATCATTTGATTCAACATGTAATATGCTTTACTAATTTTAGTTATCTCTTCAAATTGAATTATCATTGTATTGGTTAGCAAATATGCATTGATAAATTTATTGACAGAATTTATTCCGGTTGCTCTTTTTATTATGGTTTGCAAAAATATGTGAAATTTGATGATAAAAAAAAAGAAAGAAAGAAATCAATTATTTCTGATTCTGATTTTTGATTTTTTTAGACTTTTAGATTAGACTTTAATATACAAAAAATTTATATCTATTATAGTTATTAAAATTTTATATATTAAAGTCTAATCTTAAAGCCTAATTTTAAAGTCTAATCTAAAAGTCTAAAAAAGTGTTAAAAAGATCAGAAATCAGAATCGGAAATTATTGATTTCTTTTTTTTTTTGATCATCAAATTTCACTTTTTTTTTTCAAACCACAATAATACAAATAGATTATTAAAAAATTAAACTGCTTGGTCAAAGTTAAATTAATTAAATGCATAAGAACCTTACCTACAGCCTTTCATTAAAGTTACTCAATTTCTGAATTCATATTTGAAATGATTTCATTATTACTAGTATCATTACAGACATGCAATAGCCACCAAATTAATAATAAATAAAAGAAATTCATTCTGATATTCGGTTTAAAAATAACTAATTACAGGTTGGGATATATTACTTCTTATTGAGTGGGCAAGGATTGACCAATTTTGCTCAAAATTCATTAAATAAAATGACAACTAATAATCTCATTATAAACTTGGTTGGATAGCATTGTTTATACCAGCCCAGCTTTAATGATCTCTAACTCAAAATTCAGGATGGTTGTAGAAGTTTATATGTAGAACATTTGTAATAATTAGATTCATTGTGGCAAATTTATAAATTAGAGCATTTTTGACTTACTATGAAACGCTTTATTTACTATTTGTTTTTTGACATTTCTTATTGTAAAATCATATAGATTATGTCAAACCCATCTTCCTGTGAAAAGATAGGTTAGATGTTATTTACATAATTTTACAATAAGAAATGTCAAAAACAAATGGGTCTTTGCCTTGAAAATATTCTTACAGAACTATGTAGATCTTATCCTTAAATTGTTTTGCAGCCAAATTTGCCTGCAAACTTTTTTAAATTTTAAATTTTTCTAATAAAATTTTAAATATT